TAGGGTTAGGGTTAGGGTTAGGGTTAGGTTTAGCATTAGGGTAAGGGTTAGGTTTAGGGTTAGGGTTAGGGTTAGGGTTAGGGTTAGGGTTAGGGTTAGGTTTAGGATTAGGATTAGGTTTAGGGGGGTTAGGTTTAGGTTTAGGGATTAATTTTAGGTTTAGCGTTTACAGCGTGCTTTTTTCTCCAGGCTGTTGTCATGCTGTGATGACGTCAGCTAAGCGGTTTCGTCGAGCGCCCTTTAGTCGAACGCGGTTTTGTGGTGGAACCCCACCCCTTATTCTCTTCTGTTCTGCTCTGCTTTGTTCTGCTCTTCTCTGCTCTAGTCTATTCCCTTTTGCTTTCCTTTCTATCTCTGCCTTATTAATAAGCATGTTCATCATAGCACACAATTTTTTTAAAAAAAGAAATCTCTCCCTCCTTCTAAACTAAAAAGAGAAGCCTACTAAAGAGAAGGGGGTTTAGTAGATTCTCAGTAACAAGCAAGTTTTGTCAAGTCAACTGGTGTTCTCTCTTGGCAAGAGAAATATTGCATAGACCTGAAGTGTTGAAAAAGCCCATTTAGGCCACACAAATCTGGCTCCTCGCTTGATTCAGGGATCCAAATTAAAGTCATCCAGCTTTGGCTTGGATAAATCCAGCGCAAGGAAGCTTATCGTCTCCTTCAGTAATTGCTTTGGTTGTTGTTACTGTTAGGCTGTGTTTCCTCCACATTCGACTGGAATCTGTCCTCCTGGAAATAAAATGCAATTGTCTTCAGGGTTTGGACTCACAATGCAGACTCTGACACAGCCTCCAAAAAGAGGAAAACCTGTACAACCTTCATACAGATGGTCACCAACTACCTGTGTTGAAGAAATGTCCATCTGAGTTCAGTTCCAAGTGGGGAGAAAGACACCGGAAACGTGGAGACTGCTTGGAAAGATGGTTTTTAATGGTGGATAGGATCAGATGGCTTGAGGTCCTGGACAAAAAGGGAAGAGATGCTGAGAGTGCCTGGTTTTTTTTTTTTTGCCCTCTCTGGGCTTTTGAATTTGAGCTTGTATTCTGATTGGTTGTCAGACTCCCATGGGGCCATGGACGTTGTGTTTTGAGTCCCAAGTTTGGTTGAGCCTTGCTGGGTGATATAATCTTCCCAGGTGCCATGTGATGAGTTCTGTTGCTAGATGGGTCCTATTGTGTCCTGGAGGCCATGTTTTTTGTGTTGTAGAATAGACTGGCTCAGGCCTTAATGGTCCATTGACAAAGGTTGGGGGTGGGGTTGAGTTTCTGACTCCCTTTTAGGGGAAATATTCTGCCATTTTAATATTTCCTATAATATCTTATTTTCCTAGGAGAGGGGTGGTGCTAAGTTCCTACACCTGCGTTCTCAGTTTTTGTGGTCGGCCAGCAGCCAGAAGAGCTGGCAGTAGATTCGGACAGTGAGGAGGTTACGGAGGAACATGGGCCAGTCCTGGAGTCTGGGGAAGGCTCTGATGAGGGCTCTGTGTTGGAGGCATGGGGCCAGGGCCATCTAACAGTTATCAGCTGCCTTCAGAGTCAGACATCAGCGTGGCAGACTATTAGCTGGAGCCTGTTCCCAGTGTGTGCATGCGCAGAGTTGCGAGATGAAGGGAACAGCTAAAGAACAGAGGTTGACTTGGGAGTAAGGCCACAGGTGGATGATGAATGACCCCTCCCAGAGGAAATAAAAGAGGAGCAAAAGTGGAGTGGAGTTTGCAGGAGACAATTAGTTCGTTTAATTGATTCATGACTCTCTGAGACTCCTTGCCAAGTTCTGCAGATATCAGCCTGTCAGCTCTCTAAGCCAGATAAGGTCTGTGACCATAAATCCTCCTTTGAAAGACTTTGCCAGCTGCTTGGGAAGTCTCGGTCAGAACAGAAGGTCACAAAAGGGGATCACAGGACCCCGGGATGCTGCAACCATCATAAATATCAGTGAGTTGTTGAGCATCTAAAGTTTGATCACATGGCCATGGGGTTGCTGCAATGCTCATAAACTGTGAAAAATGGTCATGCGTCACTTTTTCCAGCGCCGCTGTAACCTTGAATGGTCAGTAAATGAATTGTTGTAAGACTACCTTTAAATGGGCATGACAACAGCAATTGACTTAGGCTGAGGAATATTTCAATTAACAACAATATTGCTAAGACTGGCTACCGAAAAGTTGGATTGTCCTTGTCTGATCAGTGAAAGGAAGCGAGACGTACACAATATTTTAAAAGACAAATTAGGCTGGTAAGCGCTCCAGACAATGATAAAGGGGAAAGTTTAAGGCTTGCATTTGGATAAATTGCTCGGAAAATCTGATCCACCGACTCTTTTCAAATATGATTATACAAACATAATTTGCATAAATACGATAATTAAAATTCTGCCCGCAGCACACTTCTTAACAAAAACGGAAGCGGCCAGAAAATGGCATCAAATAACCAGGGAAGAAATGTTTAAAATGTCACTATGCGAAATTCTCGGCTCTCCGTTAAATAAGTAATTCATTGCAAATATTATCAGAGGGAGAGGAAATTAAGTTTGATAGTGAAGACCTAATGTTTGATGGTCTGATCTTTTTTTTTATGACTTGTCATTTCGTTCAGTCCAAAACTTTTTTTATTATTCTCGCTTTCAAGAGCAATTTAAAGAAAACTGAGTTGCGGTCCTGGATTTCCTTCAAGTACCGTATGTTTTGGAGTATAAGATGCACCGGAGTATAAAACGTACCAAGATTTTGAAGAGGTAAATTTTTTTTAAAAAAAGTTTTTGCATTCTGCAGGCCTCCCAAACTCTCTGCACACC